AAAATTGCAAGTAAACATATTGTTGCCTTATTAGGGTGGATCACAGAGTATTGGAAGAGGTTCGCTCAGTCTACATGGTCAACTAGGTTCCCCTCTTGAACTTGGAAAGGAGTGGGCGGCTGGTCAAAGATGTAGTAGAATGACTCAGAAATCATAGTCTATGTGCTTCAAGACACTCGTTGTCTTTTCTCAGCTTCTCTTGAAATGCTGGATTGGTTCTTAGAGGGTAGAAGCTGATGAACAGGAGTTCGAGTTGTAGATGTCACAGCCTAGGAGTCTTGGTGAGTGTTTCGGGTACCCTACAGTATAGGATGAAGGGAAGACAAAGGAGGTTTAGTACAGGTATCACTGAGATGATAATCACTAAACAAAGGGCAAAGTAATTCATTTTGAAGCAATTGAAAAAAAAAATGTAAGAATAATTACCACAACAACCTATTTTATTTATTACTGATGTTGTCTGTAGTAACTCCAGACTGCCTGTATTTATTTTTATTTCACATGTGTTATTTATTTATTTACTTTTCGATAAATTGTCCATTTTGTTCTACTAGAAATGCATACATTTAATTTTTTCACCTCTTGAATGAATTTGAGAGTTTTGATCTTCTTTGGTGACCCTGACGCAATTTTAAACATCCAAAATGTCCAACAAAGAACCAGCAGTAAACGAAATTAAAGTCAAGATTCACCCTTCTGATTTCTGGCACAAACTGTGGTTTGCACAGATCGAAACCCAATTTTCTCCAGCGGGGATCACAGTTGGAGAAACTAAATTGTATTAGGTCTGCGGTATGCGAAATACGCAGCGGAAGTGAGAGATATCCTCACACATCTACATCAGAATTAAAGTTAGTACTCCAAAGAAGAAGGGACACAAATTTCAGTATGGCAGGAAGAAGACATGAGACTGTCATTTACATCGGTCATCGGACACAAGTCCTTGGAGACGATCGTGGTCAATTTGATCACCATGACGTCTGCTGGTATCACTGGCACTTCGGGGACAGAATAGCAACCCCCAGTTGACGTCTTCAGCGCTGGGTCTGGAAGCCTTCGGTGATATGAACAGTGCAGTACACCGGCCCTTGCAGGTTCAAAGGAAGCAGCTCGAGAAACGACCCAGAGTGTCACTAATGGCAGCGAGTGACTCCGACCTCACTTGTTTTCGTCGCCTATCTTTCGCCGACAAGGTAACCAAAAAACAATTTCTTTCTAGTTGACACGGTAGCTGAGTTGACATGGTAGCTGATGTATGTGTAGACCCTCGCAATATGTTACAAGCTGCAATGTGAACAAACTGCTGAATTCAATAGCACTTTGTAATGCTGTAGGTATTTAGATTCTTCAGGAGACTGGTGTACCAAGTAAACCTCCTGATTTCACATCTATGTTTTTAAGTCTAGCAACCTAAATTTAGTTTAATTTTTTAACTAATGGGAAATAATATTTTTAAAGAGTACGATATACCTTTTAACTTGAAATCCTAAGTGGACTTTCTTGTATAAATATGTTCTATGTTCTTCTATACTCTAACCTACACAGTGTTGATCCAATGCTCCGTCATTTACTCGTCCTTAAAAAAACCAGACCCGATTTAGATCACGTGAACTCAAAACCTGCCGGATTCAACCATAAAATACAGTAGATGGATACATCTGTGCCAATGATGCAAACAAACAGAATTCCTGTTGCATTTGCAATAACAGTTTATTTAAGGGACCATCCGTTTCACAAGCTCTAAATCACGATCGTTTACCCATCTCTAAACGTGATCGCTAAGAATAGAAGAACTTCTATCATTAAATACTGTATACACCCAGAATAATATAGGCCTATTTTCGATTTTATAGTCACCACCCCAGATTCTGTTGTATTCAAGTAAATAGCATTAGGATATCTGTTAAAATTAGGTAATGTGTTAGAAAGTATCTATCAATAAAGGTTGTAGTACTGTACTTACATTCTACTGTTAACATCAACGTCTCGTGGTTATTAGAAACGTAGTTTTATCCTCACAGAAAAGGGGTGTTTTATAACATTTTACTTTACACTATCCCCTTTTAAAAGGAAAGAACCTTTTTATAGATCAATTTCCATATTTTAGTTCAGGCTGCCACATATGCTTAAACAAATAACTTACACATGTACATATCGATTACGCAATCTTCGGCAGCGACTGGCGAGTAGTCGTGGTCAGTTCACAGAATAATCTCTGTGGACGTGTTATTATACAGTTTTCCTTGTGCATTCATCATTATCATTTTATTTTTAGATACGTTGTGTCAGGCAAAAAGTCAATGGATGTAAACAGCCAAGTACCTACCTATATAGCCATGGATAAAACATACTCCCTTGTGTTGGTTAGTCTATGCTATAGCATTCAACACTATTTTTTGTAATTACTTTAAAACAGTACTCTCAACTTGATTTTCTAACAGTAAGGAACGGTTATTTTTCGCTTGTTCGTAACCAGTGTAACTAATTTCTATAAGTAGACAGAATGGTCATCTCTAAACAATATCTTGTAAATTACATTTATTGCATACGCGATAAGCAGAGTATTTAGACCTAAAACGGTTATAAGCAATTAGATATTGTATTCTGCAGAGGTTGTTTGAGCACCGGTGACGTCAGAGGCCAGTGCGATCATTGACTATAGTTCGGCCGCTTAGAAAACAACCTGCGCGCTAATGCTAAACCAATGCTGGAGGAGGTCGCTTTCTAAGCGGCCGACAGTGACAGTGTTATATAGCAATGGTACGATCCACGATCCTACAGCACGATCAAACTCATTTATGACTGACAGATCGACTCGTGAAGCTTATGACTTATTTCGTGATCTTTGTCTCTATTCACATTGATGTTTGTGCTTGATAATTCACCAGCAGTGGGGTGGGTTAGTCAGTAACTGGAGCGATCCACTACTCCTTAACACGCGTTCTGTCCAAAAGCTGCTATATGTAATATTGTTTTCTGAATAGTAACTTGGATTTATTCATGCTGCATATACTCCAACCTATGTTATGTTACAGTTATGTTAATTTAAGTTATGTTGCAGTATTAACTTTTCTTTCATACTGTGGACTTAGTGAGAGAGCAATGATCATTGTCTTCTTATGATGTTATTTTTGTACACAATTTCTACCATGAAGCACTTAGTTAACTTCCTACACTGGACGCACAAACTGCAAACGATTTTTTTTTAAGTTATAGGGTAGTAGAGGGAAGTTTAACTAGTTTATCAGGAAAAGAGGATCAATTATTAGACTTAGGAGCATCAGTAAAAAAGATAATTTACGCCAACTAGACAAGAAGAAAGTTTTCACTAGAAAATATAAAGAAGTATGAGATGTTGTTACCTGAAGAAATATAAACTTAAATGAGAATTGAATGTATAGTTATATTCGCATTACTACTGTACCATTGCTCCTACTTACATTTTATGTACCCTTGTCATTTTATCCTTACATTTTGGGAACCTTATCGAAATCAGGAACCAGAGCTTGAAATATCGTGACTAGTATTTCGCCAATCCTGACGAAAACATTCACTTTCTCTCCATAATTCAAAGTTCCACGCATAAATCTGTAAAGACTTTACATTTACCTTTAAAAACATCTTACTCTAAACCATTATTAAACTAATCCATTGCGTCTGGCGCCAAGATGATTGAGGGAAGTGATGAGTCAGAGATATAATTCATATGATTATGATGACGGGGCGGGACTGGCCACTGTAGGAGGAACTGTTGTAGCAGTCTAGATCATCTCTGTTGTGCAATCAGCTGTAATCTGTAATATAGATTACTGAGCCTTTGTAAACAATCCGAAGCTATTAGGCTTGTTTGGCTGTTATGTTCAACTCTTTTATATTACCAGAAGGATAATTGATGGATCCCAAATGACTGTGAAAGTTGACATTTTTAGTTACAGTTTGTGTTATAATGTTTAGGTTTGTGGTTCTTATGGTTGAAGATACGCAATTGCAGGCAACGACGAATGATGGAGGTAGTCGAGGGACTTGCGCTGGCGTTACAGTTACCACCAATCACAGCTTATAGCAATGCTCTAACCCTTCTTATGTTGCTACACTTATCAAGAAAGCTTAAAATCTTCATTCTCTGAGGCTAGGGTGATTTTTTCCTCGCCAAGGTTTTGTACCCCCTGCGCTAGAATGTTGTGTAGTATTGTTTCATTTGGTTGTACTCTATAGTTTTATTTGCCAACACGGATGATAGAGTAATCTGGGTTTCAAAGGAAGGGTTGGTTGGTTGATAGAGTACCCTACGTTTCAAATGAAGGGTTGGTTGATAGAGTACCCTGGATTTCAAATGGAGGGTTGGTTGATAGAGTACCCTGGGTTTCAAATGGAGGGTTGGTTGATAGAATACCTTGGTTACAAAAGGGTAGTGTAACAGCATATCTTACAAGTTAGTGACACTATTTATTTATGGTGAGTGAGATTGTTTTATTTTATATTGAATCAGTACCAACTCAAAGAAATATAATTGCCGAAGGACTGTTACTGAAATGCTCTACATGCTACAAGTCTTAATTTACAATAAATATCTTCTGAGTAAAAAGCCAAAACGAAATTCATTCAGACAAACAAATATCAAGCAGTATGACATATTTTAACTTTACAAAATGTAAGTAGACACGTTAGTTTCCATTTGGTGGCACAACATATTTAGTGTTAGCCAAAATAATATACCTGTAATCAACACTACATTTCAAGACCGTTACAAAGACTTCTCTGTTTACTATGTCACGGAGTTGGTCAGAAATAATGACGCACACTACATCTAGGGTCCAGCTGATCATAGCAGCTCAACAATGGTAACAGCTGAATGTCAACAATGCCCGGCGGCCGCTGTCGGTCTTCAGTCTGACACCAGACCGCGACGAGGTTAGACGTGCGTCGGTTTTTAGGCATTTTGTTTAAATCTGAACGAGTTATATTTTCTTTCTAAACTTAAAGTTTTTTCAATAGTGTTTTGTATGAGTGATGTGTTGTGAGAGTTTTAGTGTCACGATATTCTAAAATGGGACCAGATTTGACTGTAAGTTTGGTAAATTGTTATATTTTTGAAAATTCTCAGCAGCTTATTTGCTTTGAAAATTGTTTATGTTTTATACTAGCTACGTAAGCATTTTTATTGAATAAACATCCCTGAAAGGAAGTAAACAAAGTTGCACAGAAATACCGATACTCAGTGTTGTAAAGAGTTTTTTGATCTTAAAATGTCGTTTGTAAAAACGATGCTTCAGTTAAATTAAGTTAATTGTAGGCTGGTATAACTTATCAATCTGCATAGCATGAGTCTAACTTCTAAACTTTTTATAAGTTCATAGTTTTTTTGTCGTTGGAATAATGGTGTTATTGAATTAACTATCACCGCTTCACAACCATTTCTAACAAGCAGTTCACCATGACAGTTAAATTCGATGATTTGTTAAGTAACCACATGTGTCAAATTAGTAACTGACTCATTGCCTATCAAACACGACGGCTTAATATATCAGTTTGATATGTAGTGGTAATAAAGAGTCAAATCAGTATAAAGGTACAAGTAAAGAATAATGTTAGTTTTTATTGTTTGTGTATAGCTGAAAAACTGTCTTTATAAACGCATTAACTTCAAAGTGTATTTTTTCTGTTCCACACAAACATATTTTCAAATATATATATCTTAATCTGTTCTAAACGACTTTTGGCTTAGAAATACCATATTTAGACGTTCCACTCAAAATCAAAGCATTTCGGCCACATATAAAACTAATCAAATATTCTCTTTAATAGATGCTCCTGTGTATACCAAGTTAATCATGTTTTTGAAGAATTATCAGACGTCTGCTAATGATCCTTTACAAGTAGGCTAGGCTATTTTAAATTTTCAGAACATGTTATTGAGTACAAGCTACACAGCATAATGCAATGTATCAGTTTCGTAGTAATTACAAATAATTGCAAGCGAAAACATAAATTCGTCCACCAGCCCAATTACGATCCCTGGAACTTTACAACTGGAGGTCGAATATATTCATCATCTGTTCAAGGCTTGGTGATATCAGAACGTTTTGCATAGTCTTTAACTACTGCTGTCAAACTATGTCAGCAAACCACAAACTGAGCCTGGTCGATTTAATGTTTTCTGCTATCTTGATTTATTGATTTAAACTGTAAATTTTAACTTAACTTCCCCCTTCACTATATATACTACTACCATCAATATCATTTCTTGCAATCCTGTTTTTGTAGTTTGATGTGAAGTTCATTCACTTTCAAATTTGCTCAAGCTCATGTTTGTTTTTGATTTTTATTTTAATGGCAAAGTTTTAATTGACTAGGAAATTATTTGAACGGACACAGTATATCATCATGCAATTTAATTGTCAAATAGTACGTCTAAGAAATTGCCGATTACAGTTTTTCATAGATAGCACAGATTGGAGAAAACAATTATGGAACATAGAGGTGACAATGAAAGTGTTAACTAGTAAATAAGAAAGCAATCACTATTATGCATAAGTAGCTCATAGTGTAGTAAGTAAATGAATTCAATTCTGTTCCACTAAGATTTGTATTACTAATAAAAAGTAATTAATTAATATATCTTGGCTTGTTCGTTTAGGAATCAAAATAGAATCAGGCTATTGTCTAATTTAAATCGTTGACACGGCACATGTGTTAGATGATAGCATTATATCGATAAGATAATACCACCTATCGTACACATTTCATAAAACTGCTATCGAGCAGCCTACGCTGAAATTCCAGCAAGTTTGTGTACTGCATTTGATAACGATTGCAAAACAATAACTTTATGATGTGCAGGAGAGGATTATTCCAACACTTTACCCCTAGCAATATGAAGGTGCCCTTAACATGGCTTTCAGGGACAATCGCAAATTGCTAAGTGCAAACTCGAAACGTACCGTTTCTAGTTGTACAGTAATGCATTTGCTAACAAAGAACCCAGACCTGTTTTCACCCCCTCTTTGTCCAGAGCTATTGGCTGCAGGGTGGGTCTGTCTAAGAGGATTGGGGTTGGAGGAGGAAAAAAACCTGACCCAAAAACCAGCCCAGCTGCATTCTCGACCCTATCCTTATTCCCTAACATCACTTATTTTAAAAGACACGACACTTTATCCTGTTGGACCCAAATGAATGACCTGTAAGTGGTTAAGCTATCGGCTGCATCTGTGCATTTTGATTCTCAAATGCAAATAGTGTAAATCCCTATTTAAAGTTTTGAATTTACAGTAAAAGCTCAGGTTTTAGTATCTGAAGTAAACGGACAAATAACACGTATGCATTAACCACAGGCTTTTATTATTCCAAGGATTTACTATGTATTGTGGATGATATTACCATACTATCTCAACTGATATTACCTGTTTGGGTGGTTTTATTTGGTGTAAAACACAGCGGTCGGTAAACTGTTATTCCCCCGATGTGATGTTTGTGTACTCCATCGCTCATCATCAGTGATTCTCCGCGATGGTTTACAAAGACACCTTGTAAGAATATGAAGCTTTTTTCTGTTTTGTCAGTTGGCTGTTATTAGTTTATGGCCAAACATTTAAACCATATGAGAAAATAACGAGAGCTTCAAATTTTTGACTGTGCTTAGGCTACTCCAATGTTTCAATGTAATACAATGCCATAGGTGTGATATTAGACGTGGTCCTTCCTATTTCATCGTCCTACCTGTTGTCCTACACAGTATAACACCTGTTACTGCCAAGGGCACATCTACACTTAGCTTCTATATCTGTACAAGCTGCGTGTTTTGGGTACAAGACCGTTACAAAGCTTCCCCGTGGTATGTCGCACATGATGGCAGTAACAGCATTAGGCATAAGTGGATGAGATTCGGTTTGTTGCACGGCCTTGCCCCCTCCCCCTCCTTTCCCCTACAGTATATACCATCTACTGTCTACACACGTCATGGTACTGGTTACCATGGTCCGTCTGGCCCTACTCCACTTTCGCCCCAGTTTTAAATAATTGACTTTCCCAGTGACACAGTGAGGAATATACTATTCTGTTGTTAGGTAAGGTTCTTCGCGGTGATGCCCAGCCGTTCATGATCATTGGGATTGTAAAAGGTCCTGTATTGTAGAATTACAGAGTCATAAATAAGATAAGAATAATAATATTGGGAAGAATACGGACGTTGAGCATAGAAAATATTATTTCAAAAAGGAATATAAGAGTGGATAAAAATGAAGATAATATTGCTGGAGCTATGAAAAACTGCGTGAACTGTACTCATGATGCACTTTGTGAAGGAGTTATACAGAAGGAGAAGGCATACTCGATGAGGCAGCGATTTCACTGGAACGACTAAGTTGACTTTTTGCACAATCCCCAATACAACTATGCACTGTACTTAGAATCTATCTATATCTATATCTATATCTATATCTATCTATCTATATATTAATAGGCAAGCATGTTTCTTTAAAACCTTTTTTCTCAGCTCGTGTGAATCGTAGGGAAAATCTACGCATACCGTTGGAAAGCTATTTTCCTGTAGGTGTGCAGAATCCCTTTATAAATTTAAATAGGCTCAAAGATAAGCACAAAAAATGAGTTTAAAAATTTGAAAAAATTAACATGGATCTTATGCGTTGCTATGCTGGTTACGAAATAACAACGAAATATAAACAGAAAATCAAAACAAATGGAGGAAACTCCAATCACATGTTTTATTTACAGTGTGGGGTGAAAATAGATAAGTGAGTACATTACATATTTTTGGTCGAGTTTCGACCACTGGACGACCTCTCGTCTATATTAATAGGCAAGCATGTTTCTTTAAAACCTTTTTTCTCAGCTCGTGTGCATCGCAGGGGAAATCTACGCATACTGTTAGAAAGATATTTGCCTTTAGATGTGCAGAATCCCTTTATAGATTAAAATAGGCTAAAGATAAGCACAAAAAACGAATTTGAAAACTTCAAAAAATTAACATGGATCAACTGGGTTGCCATGATGGTGACGAAATAACAACAAAAAGTAAACAGAAAATCAAAACAAATGGAAGAAATCCCAATCACATGTTTTATTTACAGTGTGGGGAGAAAATAGAGAAGTCTGTACATTAATTATTTTTGGTCGAGTTTCGACCACAGGACGACCACTAGTTTTCATAAATATATGTTTGTTCACGTACTTTAACGAAAGGATTTCCCTAAAAGCTTGATATGAATTCAATTACCTATTTCATTATGATGTGTTGTGTCATGTATCGTTAGCACTATATTGGTTGTAAGAAACTAATTGGTTTTTGGAGTGTAAAAATTCTTTTTGTTAAAGTACACAATTAATAGTTTCTCTATTTAAGAGTCCTTGGAGGCTAGCGGCCATCTTGGGTAATTTCAAACAGCTGCTGAAGAGTTAATTATCATCCAAAAATAGTTTTTCCGTAATTATAATTTTAATATCTAGGTACTATGAGATTAGAAATTTTCGTTGTTGTTTTGGATTGATTTCCAAGGAACTCTATGGAAGCCAATGGCCATCTTGGATTTTCTTGCCATATGAGCAATGTTAAATTTGTAATTTTCAAACAGCCGCTAAAAGTTATTTACCATCTCAATTTTTTTTTATACCAAAGTGATTGTAATTTAAATATCTAGTATACTGTGAGATGTGAGATTAGTAATTTTCTTTGTAGCTTTTTAATTGTTTTATGAGTTAGAACTTTTAGGCTCTAAGGACTCTTAACTACTTTTGCTAACCATCAACAAAAATAAGCGTGAGTCATGTTTGTTTACTTAAAGGAAAACACAATTACGACTGAAAATTAAACCAAATCTGACCATTACCATTCTAATCTTGACCGAGTAACCTAGAAGCTGACCTGGAACTTCTCAATAAACAAGATATATCAGGCAGTGGAGGTCAGCGGTGCCATAAGTCATAAAACTTGCAAACTTGTCATCAACCATTCAGCGTGTGACGTTGTGACCCGACAGCGGGAAACCCGAAAGGTCGGCGGGCGAACCTTCGGACCGTGGTTAAACAGTTCCGGATCCGGTTGCGTTATCA